ATTTATTTTAGACAATCAATGTTACCACAGCAGCAACAGGATGGGGTCTGGCCCTGGCTTGTGATACTTTGGTGTCTCAGGTTTGGAAAACCCACAACTTTCTGCCTCGCTTTAATATTTCCTGAGGTTCACTGTAACTCAGTTCTTATCTCTACTATTATTTTTATTACTGTCCTTCGCTGAGTAATTAACATAATCTGTGCTGTGCTGTGCTGTGCAGACATTTGGGGGTAAGAATATGTTACAGGTGGGAGTGATCCTTCAGAGGGGCATCATCATCCTCGTGTTGTTCTGTCTGCCTTGCTGGGCACTCCTTATCAATGCCCAGGCCATACTGCTGTGTCTGAGCCAAGACCCTGAGGTTGCCAGGTAACTTAAAGCAGCAGAATGTACACGTAAAACTCAGTGTCCCTGTTAAAACAGAACAATATATTCTCTCAGCTGCAGCATCAACCAATTGTTTTTTAAAATTCTAGCAGTCCTTAACTGACTCCAGGCTACTCTGCGAGTATGGGATTGGAGGCCAGTTGTCACGGGCTGTTTGGTTCCTATACAAGCGGTGCGAGAGTTTGGTTTGCATCGTTGGCAGTAAGTCGGACACATTCAGAGTGGGAGTTGGACTCCGCCAGGGCTGCCCATTGTCTCCGATTATGTTCATAACTTTTATGGACAGAATTTCTCATTGCAGCCAGAGGGCAGAGGGATTCCGGTTCTGTGGCCCCAGGATTTCTTCTCTGCACTCTGCAGATGATGTGGTCCTGTTGGCATCATCGTGCCATGTTCTTCAGCTCTCACTGGAGCGGCTCACAGCTGAGTGTGAAGCGTCTGGGATGAGAATCAGCACCTCCAAATCTGAGGTCATGGTCCTCAAACGGAAAAGGATGGATTGCTCTCTTCAGGTCAAGTTAGTGACCGAAATAATGAGATTGCAGATGCAGGTGGTTGAAATGAGTTTCCTCTTAAGGGTAGCTAGACTCTCCCTTAGAGATAAGGTGAGAAGCTCAGTTATTCGGGACAGACTCTGAGTAGAACCGCTACTCCTCCACATCGAGAGGAGCCAGTTGAGGTGGCTCAGGCATCTGGTAAGGATGGTCCCTGGGCACCTCCCTATGGAGGTGCTTCGGGCATATCTGACTGGGGAAGACCCAGGACACGCTGGAGAGACTATGTCTCTTGTTGGACTGGGAATGCCTTGGGGTCCTCTCAGAAGAGCTGGAAGAGGTGGCTGTGGAAAGAGATGTCTGGGCCTCCCTGCTCAAGCTGTTGCCCCCACGACCCAACTTCGGAACAAGCGGAAGATAATGGATGGATGGATGGATGGATGGATGGATGGATGGATAGCAGTCCTTCCTTAAAGGAATGCACATCACCTGGTGCCTTTATGCCAGAGTTTTGAACAGAGATCATATTATGATGAAAGGAAACGGTTATAACTGCCTTGGTCAAACCTGCTAAACAACTTCTTGTGAGATATACGCTTGGAGTATGTGTTGAGGATGACTCTCAACTCCTACCATGACAAATGTGGCTCAGTATCTTTGCTACTGATGAAGTTTATGTTGGCTAAAATTAATTAGCTGTGGAGGGAACACCAAAACCCTAAAATTTAATTAAAAAATACACATTTAACAAATACTTTCTGAGAATATCATTAAAATATGTACAGTTGTATGTGAAATATTTTGCTAACAGGCAAACGTGGCTGTCTAACATTTAATGCCAAAACTTTTACAAATGTATAGTATTTTACATATGTATTGGCGATGGTGTTCAGCTACTTTCACCCAAATAATGCTGTTTTTGTGTTTCCTAAGATCAGTTGAGTGTGGAGGCCATCTTTAATTGTGTTGAATCCAAAGGTTAATTAACTGTAGATGTACGGAGAAAACAGTTTGGTCCCTCCACAGATGTGTTAGTACAATTTCTTGCCTGTTTTTTAAATTCCGAAGACAAATAATTTAGCCCAATGTATTCCTGAACAGTGACTACTATTAAACACTGTTTTATTTTTTTTAACTGGATCTGATTTCATTCTTTTCTGTGTAGAATAGCCCAGCTGTATATTACAGCCTTCCTTCCTGCAGTACCAGTAAGTTGTCACTTTTCTTTCACCTGTTTGTTAGAATTCATAAGGTTTTGAAATGTATTAAATCCATTTCACCCCAATTTTAGTGGCAAATTAAATTTCAATTTATCTCGTAGGCCATGTTTCTTTATCATCTCCAGGTCTCCTATCTGCAGAACCAGGTGAACTAAAACGTCTTGTTCTCGTGTTCTGCTCTCTCATAACAGAGACTGTTATTTTGCTACTTTGGTGGATTTAATTGCAGCTCAGAACAAGCATATTGTTCTTCTCACATCGGTGCCTTTCTGTTCTTAGGGAATAATCCTCCCACAAATGTACACTGCTGCTCTGGCAAACATAGCAAACATCGGGACTAATTACATCTTACTTTACTGGCTGGATATGGGTGTTGGGTAGGTGTACAGTTCAAATTTCAATGAAATATTTGGACCCACTGATGTCATCCTGACTGCAATGTGCATGTTTTACAGTGGCTCTGCAGCAGCAAACACCCTGTCTCACATATACAACTGTAGCTTTCTTTTTGCCTACATTTGGTGGAAGAAGCTCCATGCATCAACATGGGCAGGTGAGGGAGGTGATGTTCTTTGTCTGCTTCATCTTTTACGAATTCCTTCTACATAAGTGAGTGTCTTCCTCCCCCTGCAGGCTGGTGTGTTGAATCACTGCAGGACTGGGGCTCCTATATGAAACTGGCCATCCCCAGCACGTTAATGACTTGTTTTGAGTGGTGGGTTTATGAGTTTGGGGGATTCTTTGCAGGTAATCAGCAGATTAGATTTCATCAACTTTATTCTTGGACAACACAGTGCCACAATTAAAGCATTGGTTAATTCTACCTCCCTTTAATTTCTTCTTTGTATCAATCAGGAATGATGAGTGAGGATGAGCTTACAGCCCAGCATGCAGTGATTACGGTGGTATCCATCATCTACATGGTATTATATAACGAGCGCTTGTCTAAGCTTCACATTGACATTTCTTCTGGACAAAGTTTTAGATTTAGATTTAAAATGCATTTCTTCTGATTTTCAGTTGTCTTCATGACAGTGTTTTAATCTTTTATGCATTTGTCTATTTCTCCACATTTTGGAACCCTTAGTTTCCTCTCGGGATTCAGGCTGCAGCATGCGCTCGGGTGGGGAATGCTCTCGGTGCAGGAGACACTGCCAGGGCGCTTCTCACCAGCAAGATGTCACTAACCCTTGCAGGTCAGTGACAAACACAATAGATTGAGAATCAGAATCGACCTTTATTATCATTGTACAGAAGCACAACGAAATTACATTTCAGTACAACCATCCAAAGAAAAACAAACATGGGTAGATGGGGATGCCTGAGGCTGCAGCCTCATGGGAAGTGCTGCCCTTTTCGTTTAGATAAGGAAAAGGGAAAATTTGAGGAAAGAGGAGGTAAAAAAAAAGTCATATCACATACTGTGTCCTTGACAGAACACTGTGTGAGGTTGCAAAAAATTCTCAGCCCAGGAAAAAGCAATGTACTTGTTACATAAAGACATAAGCATGTGGAGTGGGTGAGGGCGGGGGTCCCAGCACAGGCCGCCCAAGTGAGCGACGAAGCCACTGGCACCTTCACATCTACCTAGATTATTGAATCGGGGGGCAAAATGAGGGAGGCCAGCCAAGGTGGTGAGTTTGAGGGAAGTAGTCTGTGAACACTGTCCAGATAGCACCTGCCCCCCAGCCATAGTCCTGATAAGTGATGGTGCAGTGTTTATTTGAGAAAGTCAATCCTTCAAGCCTGAAATGGGGGTGGGGTGGGGAGTGGGGGGCAGATTCAGATAGCAACAGTTGTTTTGGGTCAGGCCAACTCTGTTAATTTCCATCTGCCTTTACCGTCTCGCTAGATCAACTAAATGGCGACTCCAAACAGTTAAATTTGTGGTCATACACCTAGTCGAGCTTACAACTTCTCCAAGATCTATTCCCTCCTGCCAGCAAGATTCAGGAGCCTCAATTAGCCTGCAATTCTCAGCAAGAATTGCATCCAGCTAACGGCTCAGCTCACACAGCATTTGAGTCTGAGTGTTGATAACATGGCGCATTCCTTCACACAGGCCAGGCAGCCTTACAATGGCTAGAACAGCTGCCAACGTTTTCCAAATTTGTCGATATGCCAGGTAACCACCAACTCCAAAGAGCAGAAATCTTGTTATCATAAATCCAATGATGTATACATCTTCAGTGTCCTTGACCGACAATACAGACAGACACACTATCTTCCACTTCCCCCAGGAATCCATTGTGTATCAGAATCAGAATAAGCTTTATTATCATTGTACCGAGATACAACGAGAATATGTCCGTACAGCTGTCCGAAAGATAGGCCAAGTGCACGTAGCTGCTGCTGTGACAGCGCGGCCTTCATATCCTTTTCAGAATACATTTTTTTATACATAAAAACAAAAAAGCCATGAGGAGAGGATAGTGGAACTTCAAAAAAAAAAAAAAAGATCTCTTCACAGCTTGTCCTAACAGAACATGATTTAAGACATAAAAATAAAAAAAAACTTTATCCGGCTGCAAGTGTCCTGTCGGGGCAGGAGGGCTCTCCTTCGCCCTGTCTTCTCATTGAAAAAAATGTATCAATTGCATTGAGAGACCAGCTGACCAGATCCATAATTTACAATTTGGAAGACATGCAAAAAGAGGCTCTAAAAAGTTACTATTGAGGCCTTGAAGGCCAAAGAAGAGCACATTAAACAAAAACTAACAACGTGTCTAGATCAGACCACACTTCAGCAAGTGATGGACTGTACAGATCAGGCACGCTTAGCACAGCATGTCAAGTCCAAGACTCGACAACAAAACAAGTTTAACTTACTAATAACTCAACACCATCGCTATTCCAATAATAACACATTCAGTGTAAAACAACACTCCAGTAGTCAATTACATGCCAGGGAGACAGAAAAGTGGGTGAAGAATTTATCTGACAGACAGCTCACCCAGCCGGAGACAGAGATTCTTGCCAGGGGACTGAACTTTGCAGTTGCACCAAGTAGAATTCCTCTGGTGGAGATGATCACAGCCACAGAATCAGCCATCCACAACAACAAAATGAAAGAGGGTGAAGCAGAACAACTCAGAATCAAAGTTTCAGCCTGCCTCAGCAATGCCAAACCACCACCTTCCAACATCAGTAGAGAGGAGAGGGATAGACTCACCACTCTTAGCAAGGACAAAAACATCATCATTCTCCCAGCAGACAAAGGAAGGTGCACAGTGATTTTGAACCAGAAAGATTATCATGACAAAGTTATGACACTCCTTAGTGACTTAACCACTAATGAACCTCTGAAATGTAATCCAGGAAGTGGTTACAAGAAGAAGTTAATAGATTGCCTGAAAATTTTGGAGCAGGACAAGGCTATTGA